GTCACGTCGCTCAGCAACATTTGAAGCAGCTCCCGATCATTTTACACAAATAATAACACATAGTTATTTCACCTCTACATATTCCTAAAATATGCCATTGGGATTTAAATTATCTATAGGCCCATGTGCAAGTTGAGGCTTCAGCCAATATGGAAATCCCCGCAGGGTTTTCGGATAAAAATAAATTCATCACAAAATCTTGCCACCATAATTTAACACTATGCGTCATAAAGATTACGCAGCGCGTGTTCAGTTGAAACCAGACTACAGAATCTAAGAAATTGCGAGGAATATGGGAACCCACAAAACACGAGGATGTGAGTTTTAAGGGTAAAATTATGACTCATACTACGACGAAGCTCAAAATGTTTTCTTCGAATTAACATACAAACAATCGTGAAGACGTTGGTTACTTTTAACCTATGCTGAAGTTTTTTGTGTTTTCTTAAATTCACAGATACACATATCAAACAGTTTGACTAATAAAACGATTAAAGAGCCGTGGTTACTTTTAATCTAAACTCAAGTTATGTGTGTTCCTAACTTCACAGATAAACAAATTAAATAGTTTTACTAATAATGCGATTAAAGAGACAGCGAGTATGGTGCTTAAACACCAAAAATGAACACCTGAGAAAAATGGGATTCAAACCTCGACCAGCAGGTTCTTACATATGTAAGAGAAGCATCTCTAAACTGTCACCTTTTAAATTAGGTCTCAGAACGAGTCGCCACTCGTGTAATAAAAAACCGGAAAAATACACTCTCGGGAGTTCTTGTCACTTTCGATTTCTCTACAATGAGATTGTCTATTGATCATTTGTTAACAAATCACGCTTGATATTTGTATCGCTTGATCATGTTTTCTGTACAAATCGTGCTATTTATTTTTTCACATCAGCAATCAATTCTGTATCCTATTACAAATTGCATGTTTGACCATCAAACAAAGACAACCTCATGGGCTGTTGAATGTTGAATGTAAGGCAATAAAACGCAAGATTAAAAAACGAAACATTGTGCCTTTGATACAGTAGACTGTTAATTGAATAAAAATGTTCCTCGACCTCTGTGAATGACTTTGCATTAACCACAAACAGTGATGAGAAAGTGTGTTTATTGTCGTATTAATAGAATTGAGTTTTGGAGGACATATCACAACCGATCTATTGTGTTGACTTTGCAGTCGCTGTGAAACTACATTGTTGAAGTCGAACTCAAGGGGAGGAATTAATTTCACTTCAAATCGGAATAAATCTTACTAGAAAAAAACGTTTAATTTTCTGAAATTTCACATCATAGTTTATTTTCATTTAGTCGTAGTGAAAATTGACATTTTCTGAAGAATAATGTGTTTTTGGTCCCCAAAGGACTAAAACCTGTTTGTTATGTTCATCATTTCAGAGAACAATTGTTTGACTGAAGGGCTCACTGAAACAAATATAACAAACAAACATTGAGTGTGTGTATTTTGGACCAGTGAGAAACGTGTGCCGTGGATGACAGGTCCTGTTGTCCCTTTGTCCAAAGAGTTTTGAAAATGTCATCGACCCTTAATATACATGATGTGTAGTTATTACCTAATATATGCACTTATATACCCGTGAAGATCAGGACCTGAGTTGGTCTTCAGCAACCTATGCTTGTCGTAAGAGGCGACTAACGGGATCTGATTGTCAGGCTCGCTGACTTGGTTGACACATGTCATCGTATCCCAATTGCATGGATGGATGCTTATGATCTTAATCACTGGACTGTCAGGTCCAGCTTCGATCATTTACAGACCGCGGCCATATAGCTGAAAAATTGCTGGGTTACATGTATTGTATCTTTTGCCCGTCGGTTTAATTTCTGACACAGTAAATTGCTATGGTTTGTTCTCGTGGCCATTATGTAACGTCAAACTAGCAAAGTAACAAAAACAAATGAATACTAGTATATTAAAAATACACGTTGCACATAAGAAGCGTTCATCTTTCAATGCAAATATAGCAATAGAAAAAATATATAAATTTGAAAATAGTGTTGGAAATGCAAACATATTTGCACAAGTATTCATTTGTACAGTGAGTGAGTGAGTGAATCGGGTTTAACGCCATTTTGAACAGTCTTCTACTTCTATCACGTCACGTCAACTTAAAGGCACTATTTCACACCACACTTCTCTAAAAATAAATAATGCATTTCTCTATCAGCCCTCAAGGATGCTACCATATAGTTTATTCCCAAAACAAATTACGCATTTAGATTACAATATTAAATTAAAAGGTTGAATTAATACAACGTTGCATTAAATCGACTATCGCGCCCTCTACCGGCCGAACATTATTTCAGGTGAACCCCATAGAGTTATGTCCCTAGGAGCGCTCTTTACGAATACACTATGCACAACATGTGACTGAAACCAGTTCGGCAAACACCGACAACACTGCGTGCGACAGTTTTCGATGAACGGAACAATTGTTTACACTCCATATGGCAAGTGTTCTCTGTTTGGAAGCTGTTCGCCTCGAAGTTTCAATTATCGATTTCAAGCAAGTCGTAAGGGATAAAACGTCTTTTATTGCATCAATAGGAAGCTAAAGTGAGTGCATATGTCCCAATATATCTAATATAGGCAAACATTTTGTCGAAAATGTGTAAAATAGTGCCTTAAAGCGGGATGAAAGCCCGAAGTGATAAAGCCCTCAGACGTGGTCCACCTTAGCAAAACCAACGAGCATAGAAATGGATTTACAATCGAGGCGAACCGAGACTCGAAACCACGATCACTGGTTTCTGGCGTGTCTAAGGTAGGCAACTCTACATGCGCAACTGTGGCGCATCATACGACGAGGTCACATGTGCGCCAGAGCTGTATATCTTTCAAGGAGTTAATGATTACCCTTATAATACAGAGACCGCCTCCGTGATGTATACGTGGTTAGAGCGTCCGCCCGGAGAGCGGAAGGTCGCGGGTTCGATCCCCGACCGCGTCATACCAAAATACGTTAAAATATGGTACTTGTTGGTCCCTGCCTGGCGCTCGGTATTAATGGGTACAAGGACTGGTCGGCTCGGAGTCAGTATAATGTGTCTGAGTGGGGTATTCATGCTTCACTGCGGCATGGTATCTCAGTGGGCTAGCACTATAAAACCAGCTTAAGTCTGGGCTAGTACAAGCAGCCGCACATACACATACACATACACTTCGTCGCATGCACGAAATCTCAAGCACACGTATGGAGCGAAATATTTTGCCGGGTGAAGATAAAGTCATCAGAAACATATTCCAAAATTTTGAATTAAAAATATGTATAATTAGTTTTAATCGCGAAAACAGTTCGTTCTGTAAATCTCAGTTTCGGCCATTATGCATATTAAGCTGGAACCCACGTGACCTTTCACCTCACTATAATGTGGGTTAAAAAATATCAAACATAATTAAGTTCCTCTCTAAAAGTCGAATTATTCTACATGTACGTGGTTACCAAAAGAAAATTACGAAGTCTTAGTTTTATCAAACACACTCAGTTAACCTGTGATTATTTTTGTCAGTGTCCAAATGTATGCTAACATCATTGCACCGTAGCAACGATTAGTTATACTGGAGATTTGTTCGTGCGACGATTCCATTGGGAACGGTTACGTCCCAATTCACGTGGTTTAATTGTTTTCCTTGAATCCACTTGCGTATTCATTGATTGAATTCCTACTCAAAGTGTTTCATTACAGCAGACTAATTAGAGCTGTGTTTACATGGTGTGAAAATGGAATTCTCACATGCGTTAAGAGCACTACCTTATCGGGACACTGTCCGTCGTATTGACAAGCCTGTTGTACGAGGACTTTGAGTGGCCCAGTGCATTGTCTGGCTGTTTGTCGTGTGGATGGACTTCTGTTGATCCCACTGGGGTGAAATGTAGAAACCCCAATATTTAGGGTCATTCTTTGAGATATTTGGCGGAAGCTGTGCCATCACCTTCCCACTTAACTTTAAACAGTATCACACATGATGACTATGGTAATGAAAACGATGATGATGATGATGATGGTGGTGGTGGTGATGATGATGATGATGATGATGATGATGGTGATAGTGATGATGATGATGATGATGATGATGATGATGGCGACGACGACGATGACCATAAAAGTGGATGACTATAGGAGTGAGTGGGTTTAGTTTTACGCCGCTTTTGGCAATATTCCAGCAATATCACGGTGGGGGACACCAGAAGATGACTATAGGGAAAGGATAATAGGGCTGATATATATTTGATGATGTGATGAGGATGATGACGACGACGATGACCATTATTATCATAAACGAGGATGACTATAGGGAAAGGATAATAGGGCTGATATATATACTTGATGATGTGATGAGCATGACGACGACGATGACCATTAATATCATAAAGGGGGATGAGTATAGGGAAAGGAAAATAGGGCTGGTATATATTTGATGATGTGATGAGGATGATGACGACGACGATGACCATTATTATCATAAACGAGGATGACTATAGGGAAAGCATAATGGGGCTGGTATATATTTGATGATGTGATGAGGATGACGACGACGATGACCATTATTATCATAAACAATGATGACTATAGGGAAAGGATAATATGGCTGATATATATTTGATGATGTGATAAGGATGATGACGACGACGATGACCATTATTATCATATACGAGGATGACTATAGGGAAAGGATAACGTGGTAAATATATTTAGGATGGTGTGATGAGGATGATGTTGATGACGGTCTTGATTTTTATAATGTTCTCTGTGTTGTTTAACGTTGCATTCAGCAGTATTCCTGCTATGTGATCAACAATCGAGTCTGAATCAGACACTCCAGTTATTGATATCTCAGCATCGATCTATGCAATTGGGATGCGATGACATGCATCAGCCAAGTCAGCGAGTCTGACCACCCAATCCCCTTACCAATTATTTTACATTGATTTTTCACGTACCTATTTAATGAATGTCTTGTTTATTTTCAGACTTTCTTAAAGGCAATATGTGTCGGCACGCCGTTCTGCCATCGCAAACTAGAAGTAAGTACATATCAGCGTTATATCTGCAGAGTGAGTGAGTTTAGTTTTACGCTGCAAGTTTTAAAGCTATATGGCGGCGGTCTGTAAATAATCGTGTCTGGACCAGACAATCCAGTGATCAACAGCATGAGCATCGATCATCGAAACTGGGAACCGATGACATGTGTCAACCAAGTCAGCGAGCCTGACCACCCGCTGCTTAGTCGCCGCTTACGACAAGCATGGTTGCTGAAGATCAATTCTAACCCGGATCTTCACGGGTATAGCGAGACAGAAGGTCGTTTAACGAACACACTGGCGCATGCATCCATCAACACAAGTCAACCGCTGAAACATGCAGGTAAACTAGCACATGCATGATCCTACACGACCAGAAAGAGAGACAAGAGGCAGGCCAAATTCCAGCCCAAGCAAGTTTGGTTAAAGTCAAACCAACGTGTGCTAAATCAAACGCCATAATGTAGACATCCTGCTAAAGGTAATCATCAAGCGTATATACAAAGCATGGCTTTTTTCCTTCAGCGAAGCTTTTATTTATATTATGTCCATTTTCGGCAAATGTAACTAAATAAGGGAAAAGGGCTTTCCTTGTGTCCTATTTTGGTGACGTCTTACTTAAGGGGTCAACGGGGGATCGCTCGTTTAATTCAGTGTCTAAAGTTATGACACGCCAAAGACTATGATTATGGGTTCGGGCAAGTTTGTCTGCACCATACCCGGAAGTGTCGGAAACCTACATCAGTTCGGGGTTTTCTCCAAACCTTTAGCTGACACAACCTGAATGCGTGACTGAGTAAGTTTATAGTTTTACGCCGCACTTAGCAATATTCCAGCTATATGGCGGCGGTCTGTAAATAATCGAGTCTGGACCAGACAATCCAGTGATCAACAGCATGAACATGGATCTACCAACTTGAATGGTGTTAAACACGGCGTAAAACAATGCTCAGCCCCAGCTTACCATACTCTGATATCAATTTCTAATGCTTAATCGTCCATCTGTTATTTTCTTCCTACTTTTTCATCTTATTCTGTTTCATTTTGTCAAGTGTTTGTTATTATAACAAGGGGCGGTGGGGTAGCCTAGTGGTTAAAGCGTTGGCTCGCCATGCCGAAGACCCGGGTTCGAATCCCCACATGGGCACAATGTGTGAAGCCCATTTCTGGTGTCCCCCGCCGTGATGTTGCTGGAATATTGCCAAAGGCGTCGTAAAACTAAACTCAGTGAGTCAGTCAGTGTTATTATAACAAAGAGATATGTGTGTTTATTTCATAAGGGGGCCACAGGCCCATGATACAGATATTGTGGAACAGATATTTGTTGTATACAAAGAGCTTGAACTGATGACTAACAATTATAAACATGTATTTATACATGAATAAGAAATCAATCTTCTATTATAACAAAGATAACAAAAACATCCTTGTATTACGATTACCTGTATTACGACTCTCTCCGTAAAACGGGCAACCAAATGAACTGATAACAAGCTTCGTTTCGTAGTATGGATAATATAGAAAAGAATAGAACAAAATAAAAGATTTATATGACCAAATCATCGTGATATTTGAAATACACAAGTCTGATAAATCGTGTCCGTAGTGCGAGTCCGATTCATTCATGAGTAATTCAGAATACTTTTCAAGTAGTGAGTGATTGAAGTAATTGAAACGATGATGATGATGATGGTGATGATGATGGTGATAGTGATGATGATGATGGTGATGATGGTGATGGTGATGGTGATGGTGATAGTGATGATGATGATGATGATGATGATGATGATGATGATGATGATGGCGACGACGACGATGACAATAAAAGGGGATGACTATAGGAGTGAGTGGGTTTAGTTTTACGCCGCTTTTAGCAATAGTCCTGTAAAATCAAGACAGGGGACACCAGAAATGGGCTTGACACATTGTACCCATACGGGGAATCGAACCCGGGTCTTCAACGTGACGAGCGAACACATTAACCACGAGGCTACCCCACCGCCCCTTCAAGTAGCGAAGGGCAGTGGGGTGGCCTACAGGTTACAGCAATCTCTCGTCACACTGAAGACCCGGGTTCGATTCCCAACATGGGTACATGGCCCATGGTATTTCTGGAATATTGCAATCATGGAAAAACGGTGTAAAACCATCTACCCACTCACTCACTCACTCAAATAGTGATGCTACCAGGCTTTCGCGAAAGGTTAAGCGGATACATCGTCGAAAACAAACGTTTCTGTATAACGAGAATCCAGTACAGAGTGTCTCTGTATCAAGAACATCTCGGCAAAACGAACTTCTCAGCATACCGAACGTCCTCAAGGATGTTGTCATATCCAATATACGCCAGTCACATGATCAGCAAATATAATTGCAACATATTTACGGGATAATTGAATTCTCTGCACCTCGTTCCGTCCAAAGTCGACAGCAACTGGTTATCTCGGTGTCTCGGTTTACGAATTTGCGAAGTTTGGCAGAATTTATGTGCCATACAGTAATAAGTCTACCAATCCTGGCATTATATCTTATTAATTCCTGCTACTGTCCAGTCTAACGGCTGGAATCCTGGTGGCGAAGCTGCCCATGATTAACGCCTTGACTGACGGCGTCCATGAAGACCTCTCCCCCAACAACGGCGTCATGATCGACCTCCTCCCAGGTCTTCAAATCATCGAAAATTCAGTCATCAATAACAAAAAGCACAGCTTCCGCAAATAAAACCTGACTTTCGTTATCAAATACTGGCCAATCAATCACAAAGCTGGAGAAAATGTTCATTTCGTTCCGCCTGACCATACACAGTCCGGCAATCCAAGCCGGGAGCTTGTGTGGTGTGCGGGGGTGGAACCTGGGACAGCCGGGTTAATGGCCACTCTGATAATTGCGTAGTCGAAGCAATGGGCGTGTAAGAAATGCTCTTTTGGGCGCTTTGGTGATAATTTATTCACAGGTTAATAAATATATAAGAAACCTTGAACTGTTTCTGCAGGGATGTTAACATCAATCTACTCTGTAATTAAATAGCATGGATACTTACTGTTGATCATTTTGCACAGGTACGTGTGAGACGGTCTGGAATAGGTGTTTTGAATGAGTTGGGTGTTTTCACATATTTTCCGGTTACATAATTAAATATCAGCTTAATGTTAGCGGGAGAGCCCCAAGTGATGTTGATCTCAGACGTTTATCAACAAACCAAGAACCAAAACTGAAACGAACCGGGACTCGAACCCATAATCAGAGGTTCATGGCGTGCCCAAGGGAGGACACTCTGACAACTGGGAAATAGAGGATCTCATCCGAGTGTCTTTTGATATCAAATGTATCACCACGAGTTGATAAAAGTGAGAAAGTGTTTGGGGTTGGTTTTTTCTTTTTTCATTTTTATCAACGAGTGGTGATATATACTACTCACACTTTGCTAAGGATCACAAAAATTCACAACTTTACTTAAACGTAGATTTATAACATGAAATTGTATCCATTTAAAACTGGATAAATAATAATATTGTAACCCCTCTTTAGGCAGACAACCACTTTATTCGAACCTTATGCACTTGATACATGAGTAACCATAAAAATGATTTTCCTGGCACCAATTAACCATTCTGCAAATCATATAACGAGTCACTGACAAATAAACAACACCTGTCAATAGCAGGTATGGTATCCACAAGATGCAGTGACATACTGAAAGCTAGGAACCATGCTTACAATAAGCTTAGATATTTAAACCAAATCTGACCCCACATCATAGTTTTCTGTTGAATCCATGATTTGATCCTCAGCAAAGTGTGAATAGTATATTTCATATCAAAAGACACGAGGGTGGGATTGTATTTATCATCCAATATCATGCTTAATTTGTCGTTCAAGAGACGTCACCTATAACAAGTTCATTTGAAGACATGCGTATGAATACATCCAAGTGAACAAGAGTGTGGAAGAGGGAACGATGGACACCATCACGTCACAAAAAAACACAAGCGCATATAAAAGTAGTGCTGACGTTTATTGCGTTAAATTCTGCAAAACATACGTTTCTCCATTTCTTCTTCAAGTAAACTGGCTGGGCGGGATCCAGCAGTTGAATCTTTGTCACCACTCAAAAATGACTTAATTGGGATGGCCATCTTTGTGTACACCATAGGGAGATGAAAGTAGTCCGAATATCAACCAATCAGAAATAAGCTCAAAACTTACCACAACGATACATCCTCTGGAAACCTGGGTGATAAATGTGTATTTATTAGCGGAATAAAGAGGGTAAAAAGCAGATTCATAAAACCAAATTCACTCACTTGAGCTCGAAATTGGGTGACGCGTTTTGGATTACGGTTTCGAATTCGCAGTACAATCACAATTTATTTCTTTAGTTATAATTATGGTTATTTCAAACATATATTCTATTTCTGGTGTCCCCCGCTGTGGTATTGCTAGAATATCGCTAAAAGCGGCTTAAAACTAAACTCATTCACTCGAATATGTTCCTTTCCCAAAGTACAAGCATATCTCACAAATGAATCCTTGTATCATTCAGAGGCAAGTAGAAGCATCTTCGTTACTTTGAGTGTACACTGGATACGGGATCTTGTCTTAAGTGACCACTTTGGAATGAAATACCAAAACTCACTTAAACCGATGAGATGTTGCAGCCAGAGTTCTCCAAGTGCAACAAAATAAACAATGTCTATATCAGATAACTGACAGGTCCCTGACAGGTCAACGTGACCTTGGAAATAACACGCATCGCCTTACTGACAAAGTGAAGAATCCAAACGTTTCGAAAATCTATAAAATAAATGACGCCTTTCCAAAACGACTTTAATTAATCTTTAAGTGTTCTTTAAAGATGGAAGATGCATTTAAGAAGAGCCGGGTTGTTGATGTGATGTAAGTAAGTACACACGTGCCATCATCCACTGCATCCTTGTCTGGTGGGATGCTGAGATGAGCCGATGGGAACACTGTGATAATATCGGGAATACGTTTTAACCGCG